AATAAGGAGAGGGGAAAACGGCAGGATCAGCACAGAGGGAGCCAAGGAATGAAGGAACAAGGTCGGGGCTGGCTCATTTCTGACATTAAAGGGCACAACAAAACCTGGGATTTAATGTACCCACCTGCTGGGGATTGGTGGGATTTGGGGAATGACGGGATTTGAATCACAATTGGAATCATGGTTTGAAATCATGGACCAGGAGACTGAGCCAGTTCAGTGGGATCTGCTTCACTTTTATTTAAAATACACCAAAAGCAAACAGATTTGGGTTCAGGGGCTGATCCTGCCACAGCCTGGACATCCAATTCCTCATTCCCAATTATTCAGACAACATTTCCAGGGCATTTATTCCATTTAATGTACATTTTTTGCCCTTATACTGGAAAATACTGAGATTAATTTGGCCCCAGAATTGCATTAAAGATGCAAAAACATGGATTTGAAGAAACTTTAAGCGAGTTGGAATCTAAATTATTTTTTGCCCTGTTAGATGGATTTTTCCCCCTCCCAACTCTTGTTTTATATTTAAAATAATAAAACAAAATAATATTATTTGGAGTTCTCAAATTCCTCTTGTAACTCCCATTTCATGTTTGCACAACTGGCATCTTATTTTCATTCAAACAATAGAAGGAAAAAAATAAGTTTTCCTGATTTTAAGCTCCATTTCTTCACTTTGAAAACATATTTTCCAGCTAAAGCAAAAATCAGGAGCGATTAAAGAAAAGGCTTTTCCACACAATAAAAGCTGGGTGTGCTTTGGGGATGAAGAGACAAAAAGGACTGAGGGAAGGATCAGGAAATAACAGGAAGAAGGCTGCCAAAACCAGATTTTGACAAACTATTTTCTGTAATATGTCTAGACACATATTGATAAAATAAATGTCCACATACACACATATATATATATAAATACACAGAACATAAGTCACAATATTTGGCTGATAAATCAATATATTGTATCAAAAAAAGAAAGTCAAACAGATGAAAATGTGATTTAAGGTTCTCCAAGCAGAGCTGGAAACGGGGAATTCTCACTGCATCCACTCCCTTCCAGAGCCTTCTTGGCCCTGCCCTATGGGAAACTCCAGAAATTCCTAAATTCTTCCAGAGAAGGCCCATGGATGAGGCAGATGTTTGCCAAGAAATAGTGCACAGAGCATCCATACAGGGCAGGGAATCCCTGGAAGTGTCCAAGGCCAGGTTGGATGGGGTTTGGAGCAACCTGGGATGTTGGAAGGTGTCCCTGCCCATGGGCAGGGGGTGGCACTGGATGGGCTTTAAGGTCCCTTCCCAACCCAAATCATTCCATGATTTTCTGGTTCTGCTATTAAATGGTGTTTGCAGGTTCTGAGGACCATAATTCCCTATTTGTAAATATTCCAGGAGGATCACACAGCTGGAAGGTTGAACAAACACGTTTCCCATCATCAGAACCTCCTGGAACTAAATCAGTTGAGTGCAATCAAGGAGAGGATTGAGGAGCCTTGATTCCATTTGGATGGAGGTGGGCACGAAGGCATTTGGGCACTCAGAGCATTTCAGGTCCCATCAAACAAGGATCCAACATCAAACACCAAAGCTCTGCAAACCTGGGGACAAATCAGACCCTCCTGAGGGCATCAAAGGGATACAATCCATGGGATCCAACCCACATGGGGCCCTACAGAACGTGCCAGGCAGCTCAGGTGGACCATCCATGGGTTCCACAGAAGAGAACCAATAAATCTTGCTCCAATTATATTAGGAAAACTATACTGGGAAGAAATCCCTCTCTGTGAGGGTGGGGAGGTCCTGTCCCAGGTTGGGCAGAGAAGCTGTGGCTGCCCCTGGATCCCTGCAAGTGTCCAAGGCCAGGTTGGAGCAATCTGGATTTGTGGAAGGTGTCCCTGCCCATGGCAGGGGGTGGAACTGGATGGTCTTTAAGGTCCCTCCCAACCCAAACCATTTCCAACCCAACCATCACATTCCAGTGGGAACAAGGTGACCTGACTCACAAACTGGGTTTAACAGGAAAAGCAGGACAAGGAAAAAAATCAAACTCTTCCTTTCAAGTAGAAGATTTCAGCTGATTGAATCTGCAGAGCTGTCCCCTCACACTGAGATCCTTCAGGAACTCACTCCCCTGGCTTCTCCCAGGAGCATTCCCGTTCCGCTGAGCCACAAATCCGCCTCAGGCTGACAGTTCCCACCTTCCCCAGAGGTTCCCACTCGGAGGAACCGTGCTGGGGATCACTGACTTGAAGGAGCAGAGGACTGACAAGGCCAGGAGAGGAGAGTGAGGAAAAAGGGGTACATAAAACCAAGGAAGAGAGAGGAAAGTTGAGATTCCCTGCAGCTCCATTCTCGGTGGAAATCCACTTGCTCCCTGTAGGAAGCCGCAGGGATGACCTGCAGAAACACCTCCTGGAGCTCAATAAATGCCATTTAACAGGGGCTACGACCCTGATTTTATTTCCTATCATAGAATCATGGAATCAGTTGGGTTGGAAGGGACCTTCCAGATCATCAAGTCCAACCCTTGATCCAACCCCGCCGTGGTTCCCAGCCCATGGCACTGATGCCACATCCAGTCTGTCCTTAAACACCTCCAGGGATGGAGAATCCACCCCTTCCCTGGGCAGCCCATTCCAAGGGCTGAGCACCCTCTCTGCAAAGAAATTCTTTCTAATCTCCAACCTAAACCTCCCCTGGCACAGCTCAAGACCCAGCCCTCTTCTCTTGCTGATGGTTGCCTGGGAAAAGAGACCAACCCCCAGCTGGCTCCCCCCTCCTGTCAGGGAGTTGCAGAGAGTGAGGAGGTCTCCCCTGAGCCTCCTCTTCTCCAGGCTGAGCCCCCCCAGCTCCCTCAGCCTCTCCTCACAGCTCTTGTGTTCCAGTCCCTTCCCCAGCCTCGTTGCTCTCCTCTGGCCCTGCTCCAGGACCTCAATGTCCTTCCTGAGCTGAGGGCCCAGAACTGGACACAGCACTCCAGGGGTGGCCTCACCAGCGCTGAGTCCAGGGGCAGAATCACTTCCCTGGCCCTGTTGGCCACCCTGTTCCTGAGCCAGGCCAGGATCCATTGGCCCTCTTGTCCTCCTGGGCACCCTCTGGCTCCTGTTCAGCTCCCTGTCCATCCCCACTCCCAGCTCCCTTCCTGCCTGGCTGCTCTCCAGCCCCTCTGGCCCAGCCTGGAGCTGCCGGGGGTTGTTGTGGTCAAAGGGCAGGACCCGGCCCTTGGCCTTGTTGAACCTCATCCCATTGGAATCAGCCCAACTCTCCAGCCTGTCCAGGTCCCTCTGCAGAGCCCTCCTGCCTTCCAGTTGATGGACACTCCCCCCCAGCTTGGTGTCACCTGCAGATTTGCTGATGGTTCACTCAATCCCCTCATCTAAATCAGCAATAAAGACATTAAACAGAACTGGGCCCAGCACTGATCCCTGGGGACACCACTAGTGACCAGATCCCACCTGGATGCAGCTCCATCCCCATCACTCTCTGGGCCTGGCCATCAGCCAGTTCCTGACCCAGCACAGGGTGCCCCTGGCCAAGCTGTGGTTGCAGCTTTTTCAGGAGTGTGCTGTGGGAGATGGTGTCAAAGGCCTTGCTGAAGTCCAGGCAGACACATCCACAGCCTTCCCCTCATCCACCAGGTGGGTCACCTGATCATAAAAGGAGCTCAGGTTGGTCAGACAGGACCTGCCCTTCCTAAACCCCTGCTGTCTGATCCCCTGATCCTATATTATAACCCCCAAACCCAGCCATGCCCCACATTTCTCCTCCAGCTTTTTCCCCCATCTCCCAGCACGCGACCTTCGCGCGTTCGCCTTCAGCAGCTCGTTTCCCTCGGGGGAGGCAGAAAAGATCCCTGTGATCCCGTTTGGGATGCTGGGGATGATTTAGGGGCTCCTTCTGCTGAGCCACAAGGCGGGTTTTTGCAGGCACAGGAGCAGCTGCTCCGAGCTGAAAGCAGCCGGTGACGTCAGCCCATCCCTCTCGGAGCAGCTCGTGTCAAAACACGGATCTCTCCTGAAGGTCAAAAGCTCCCTCACAGGCGAGCCGAGCGAGCAGGCAAAGCTGGGAATGTTCCCTCTCTTTCCCAGCCTGCCGAAAATTCCAAATGCCACTGTCAAGCTGCCATTTGGGGGAGGTAAAAAAAAAAGGAAAGGCAAAACACAAACAAAACCTCCGTGCCTTCGTCGAGCTGTTCCACGGGAGGGATTTCAGTGCAGTGGCACCGGGAGGCTCCTTTCCTGCGGGGAAATTCGGGATGGGCTTGGAGAGGAGGAGAAATAAATGATGTTGGAGGTTAATTCTTCCTTCCCTCTCACCTTTCCTCCCATACCTGGGAATTAAATGCGTGTACAAAAAGCCTGGAGCTCCTGGGACAGCTCTAAAGAGGAAGAAATAAAGCAGCAGCAGGAGAGGGAATTCTCGTGTCTTTATATCATGTTAAAAAATATATCAGTAAAAAATATACCGTTAAAAAATATACCATTAAAAAATATACCATAAAAAATATGCCATTAAAAAATATGCCATTAAAAAATATGCCATTAAAAAATATGCCATTAAAAAATATGCCATAAAAAATATGCCATTAAAAAATATACCATTAAAAAATATACCATTAAAAAATATACCATAAAAAATATACCATAAAAATATACCATTAAAAAATATGCCATTAAAAAATATGCCATTAAAAAATATACCATTAAAAAATATACCATTAAAAAATATACCATAAAAATAGATCATATTAAAAATAATATTAAAAATCATATTAAAAATCATATTAAAATATCATATTAAAAATCATATTAAAAATCACCTTAAAAGTACATGCTATTAAAATATCATATAAAAAATAACCTTAAAAGTATATGATAATAAAAAAACATATAAAAAAATAACCTTAAAAGTATATGATATTAAAAAATCATATTAAAAATAACCTTAAAAGTATATGATATTAAAATACCATATTAAAATATCATATTTTAAAAATTTAATAGTTAAAATACATATTAAAAATCTATCATATTTTTAAAAGTTAATATTAAAATACGTCAGATTAAAAACATATATTTTGAAAAATTTCTATTGATATATCATTTTTAGATGTTAATATTAAAATACATCATATTAAAATGTATATGTTAAAAATTTAATATTAAAAATATATTATTTTAAAAATATGTCATATCACAATATTTCATATGAAGATATACTGTATTAAAGCATATCATATTAAAATATATTTAAGATATGTCATATTAAAAACATATCATATTAAAATATATTTAAAATATATCATATTAAAAACACATCATATTAAAATATATCCTATTAAAAATATGTCATATTAAAAAGCTTTGTGTTTTCTCCTTAATTCCAGTTGCATTGAAAACACAAACCCTGATAAATATCAGGAAGTTTTTATGGATTAAATGGTTCTGCAAATGATAACAATGAAGAGAAAAATGCTACAAAATACATTAAATAAAACAATCCTAGACAAAGGAGGGAGGCAAGGACAAAGCAGGAGGGTGGTGAAGGACTGGAATGGAATTCCCAGAGAAGCTGTGGCTGCCCCTGGATCCCTGGAAGTGTCCAAGGCCAGGTTGGAGCAACCTGGGCTGGTGGAAGGTGTCCCTGCCCATGGCAGGGGGTGGGACTGGATGGGCTTTAAGGTCCCTTCCAACCCAAATCATTCCATGATTCCATGATTAAAGGAAGATTCGGGGAAGGTTCAGCAGCAGCACAACATTATTGAAAACACTGACATTTGGAAAAGATGCCTAACTGGGTTCAATCAGGTTATTCCTGGGATAAAACCTTGCCATGGATGAACGGACACATCACTGGGAATCAGCACAGCCCTGGCCCAGGTTGGGCAGAGCAGCTGTGGTTGCCTCTGGATCCCTGGAAGTGTCCAAGGCCAGGTTGGAGCAAACTGGGCTGGTGGAAGGTGTCCCTGCCCATGGCAGGGGGTGGAATGAGATGAAGATTTAAGGTCACTCTCAACTCAGATCATTCCAGGATTCTGGAGCCCCTCTGCTCTGGAGCCAGGCTGGGAGAGCTGGGGGGGTTCCCCTGGAGAAGAGAAGGCTCCAGGGAGAGCTGAGAGCCCCTGGCAGGGCCTGAAGGGGCTCCAGGAGAGCTGGAGAGGGACTGGGGACAAGGGATGGAGGGGCAGCACACAGGGAATGGCTTCCCAGTGCCAGAGGGCAGGGATAGATGGGATATTGGGAAGGAATTGCTGGTTATGAGGGTGGTGGGGCCCTGGCACAGGTTGGGTAGAGAAGCTGTGGCTGCCCCTGGATCCCTGGAAGTGTCCAAGGTCAGGTTGGAGCAACCTGGGATGGTGGAAGGTGACCCTGCCCATGGCAGGGGGATGAAACAAGATGATCCTTAAGGTCCCTTCCCACCCAAACCATTCCATCACTCTCTGAATATCCACATTAATGTGGTACATTCCAATTTGGGTTTTGTCCAGACCCAAAGAGAAACGTAAGGAACTGTGACTAAGATGATAAAATCAATGGGAATGGAGGAAGAAGGTGGGTATAAACTCGTGTTTAAGCAGCAGAACAGAGGCCAGCAGGTACACCAAAGCCCCAGCCCAGGAAAACTGAGTAAACATCAATTTTTTAGACATTTTAGAAGTAATTATCCCCTATCCCTTTCCATTTGTCTGTGATAACATCACATCCACACAGCAAAGTCCCTTTAACTGCACAGTTGGGGTGAAATCTTGTAATAGTACAACACTGAACCTATAATTCCTCAGTCTTTCCTCTTATCTTGAGAGAATAATTAAAGAACACTTAGCAGATACCTTTGTAAAGGGCTACTGAAAACCTTTTAAAACTGTATTTGGAGATTATTTGACTATAAAGAAATCCTATAAGGAGCAGTGAAATATAAAAGCAGTTTGAATATATGAGACCAGGGTACAAGCCTGAACACACAAAGAGTTTTTCATGTTATCAATGCAAATACACCTACTTTATTATTATACTTACCATTTTGGAATAAATAAGGATTTTTGACTCATGAATGAATACAGATTTTAAGGACACAGAGAACTATCATCTCAGCCAGAGAGAACCTGAAAAATGGCAAACTTTACTCAGGTTTGCCATCAATTCTAAAGGAAGAAACAGGATTTTTAGTTTTACCCGAGACAAAAATAATCTATTAGAGAAGCTCCAGGGGAGGGACAAACCCTCTGTCTCGTTTGGAAGGTGGGTTTGGACAATAAAATTACACCAAAAGCAGTTTGGAAACACAAAGAAATCACATCCAGGTTAGGGACTGATTTAACAGTAAAATCTTAATTGTTGAGCAGTTAAAAAAAGGGCACTGAACATACCCAGCAGTGAGCCCTGGGCTGGATCTCCAGGAAAAAGTCTTCTGGATGCTTCTCCTAAAGACAACATTCCTTCCTCCAGAGTAGGGAATTCTGACAGGTCATTCCTCTCACAAGTCAGGCCAAGCTTCGTCTCTGAGGCAGCAGTTAAACAGCTGGAATCTACTTCTGCTGGAAGCTGGAACCATGGCTCAATTCCCTAAAAAACACAACAGGAGAAAAAAGTGCTCCAGCAGCAAGGAAGTTTTATAAGAGGAAATAATTTCCAAAGGAAATAATTACTAAGTACTGAAACAACATAATTACTGATTCTAAGTTGTATTTCTTATACAAATAGTCGGTTTTTAATGTAAAAAAAATTATAAACTAATAAAAGCAATAAAATACCCCAGTGAATGATCAAAGTCCAGCACAACCCCTGTTTAATGCCTGAAAGTCTGAAACGCTACGAAGGCATTTAAAGCTCTTTTCCACACCAGAATTTTGCTGTGGGAGCCTCAGTTTTTGCACAAGGTTCTTCCAATCGTTCACAAACACAACTCTTGATCAGCTCAGTCCTTCCAAACCACCTGTGAGCTCCTGGAATCCTCGGAGCAATTAAACATTTGGCAGCACATCCGGCAGACGGGAGCGGCCGGGATGCGGGATCTCAATTAAGGCAGAGAAAGCACTTCATGAGGGAGCTGGGAGTGGGGATGGACAGGGAGCTGAACAGGAGCCAGAGGGTGCCCAGGGGGACAAGAGGGCCAATGGATCCTGGCCTGGCTCAGGAACAGGGTGGCCAACAGGGCCAGGGAAGTGATTCTTCCCCTGGACTCAGCGCTGGGGAGGCCACCCCTGGAGTGCTGTGTCCAGTTCTGGGCCCTCAGCTCAGGAAGGACATGGAGGGGCTGGAGCAGGGCCAGAGGAGAGCAACGAGGTTGGGGAAGGGACTGGAGCACAAGTGCTGTGAGGAGAGGCTGAGGGAGCTGGGGGGGCTCAGCCTGGAGAAGAGGAGGCTCAGGGGAGACCTCCTCACTCTCTGCAACTCCCTGACAGGAGGGGGGAGCCAGGGGGGGGTTGGGCTCTTTTCCCAGGCAACCATCAGCAAGACAAGAGGGCTGGGTCTGAAGCTGTGCCAGGGGAGGGTTAGGTTGGAGATTAGGAAGAATTTCTTTGCAGAGAGGGTGCTCAGCCATTGGAATGGGCTGCCCAGGGAAGGGGTGGATTCTCCATCCCTGGAGGTGTTTAAGGTCAGACTGGATGTGGCATCAGTGCCATGGGCTGGGAACCACGGCGGGGTTGGATCAAGGGTTGGACTGGATGATCTCGGAGGTCCCTTCCAACCCAGCTGATTCTGTGATTCTGTGATGATCATTTCCATCCCATAATTAACCTTCCAGCCCCAAGCCCAGCAAAGCTCAGCACAAATACCCAATGAGCAGCAGTTTTCCTCTGGATTGCTTCTCCCAGGGAGATCCCACTGGCCGCTGATCCCTGGGTTTCGCTGCTGCTGCTTCGGCTCCAGGATTCCTCCCTCCGCTGCCGGCGTGGGGGAGTTGTGGCAATGGGCTGCAAGGCATTAATTGCTGATTAAAAACACATTATTTTTTCCATTTCAGTGTGTGTGTGTTTATTTACTCATTATGAAATACATAAAATATTCAAGCCATCCCCAAAGACCAAAAATCGGGTCTTCCCCCTCCTCAGGTGCTGCCTTAAATTCCATCCAGATTCCTAAACTTTGCTAAAAGGGGTAGCTCCTTCCCCACTTTAGATCCCAAAAATCTGAGCCTGATTTTGTGCACGTCAGCCAATCATTTCTGAGGCATTTATTTCTCGTTTCCAAATCCATATAAATCACAAAACACCAAAACTATTCATCACCTTGATCTGAGTCTGACATTTGTCTTGTGTTCATTCAATGGTTGTTGGGTTTCTAATATTTATATATATATATATATTTACTTATTTATTTATACATATTTTATATATTACATTATTGTAATATTTGTTATTTTGTTAAAATCATGTTCTTACTTATATCAATGTTATAAATTACATTTTAAAAGCCATCTTATGCAAATCACTTCAAGCAAGCCCAGTTAATTTCTAGATTATAATCAGGCAATACTTGGAGGGCAGGAATTGAAGTTAACTTGGATTCCTGCCTGGAAAAGCAGCTGTAACATTATTTTTCTTCCCCATGAGGTACCAGAGGAAGCTGTTCCTGAACTCAGAATGAAATTTCTCCTCTAGGACATCCCATTCCTGAGGTCACAGAGGCTGGAACAGCTTTTCCCAGACAGCACAGCCAGGCAGGTTTATTGGGATTATCACTGGGAAAACAGGTATTCCAGGAACACAAAAATGCTCCCTGTCACCTGCACCAGGAATTATGGATCCACTGCCTGGTGGAATTACAGTGATCCACGAAGTGGGAATTCACATGTGAGGGGCAAAAGTAAAAGGTCAGAGACGGAGAAAAGGATTTCCCAGGATGAAGGAGAGAAAAGTCCAGACCAAAACCTGGTTTAATGGATATGCACAACTGCCTTTACTTCCACAGCTGCACTTCCATCCACAGCTGCATTTTTTCACAACTGCCTTTATATCCACAGCTGCCTTTCCACCCACAGCTGCCTTTATCTCCAGAGCTGCATTTCCATCCACAGCTGCATTTCCACCCACAGCTGCATTTCCATCCCCAGCTGCATTTCCATCCCCAGCTGCATTTCCATCCACAGCTGCATTTCCATCCCCAGCTGCATTTCCATCCCCAGCTGCATTTCCATCCCCAGCTGCATTTCCATCCCCAGCTGCATTTCCATCCACATGGAATTCCCAGAGAAGCTGTGGCTGCCCCTGGATCCCTGGGAGTGTCCAAGGCCAGGTTGGAGCAACCTGGGCTGGTGGAAGGTGACCCTGCCCATGGCAGGGGGTGGAACTGGATGGGCTTTAAGGTCCCTTCCCACCCAAACCATTCCATGACTCTCTGAATATCCACATTAATGTGCTACATTCCAATATGGGTTTTGTCCAGACCCAAAGAGAAACGTAAGGAACTGTGACTAAGATGATAAAATCAATGGGAATGGAGGAAGAAGGTGGGTATAAACTTGTGTTTAAGCAGCAGAACAGAGGCCAGCAGGTACACCAAAGCCCCAGCCCAGGAAAACTGAGTAAACATCAATTTTTTAGACATTTTAGAAGTAATTATCCCCTATCCCTTTCCATTTGTCTGTGATAACATCACATCCACACAGCAAAGTCCCTTTAACTGCACAGTTGGGGTGAAATCTTGTAATAGTACAACATTGAACCTATAATTCCTCAGTCTTTCCTCTTATCTTGAGAGAATAATTAAAGAACACTTAGCAGATACCTTTGTAAAGGGCTACTGAAAACCTTTTAAAACTGTATTTGGAGATTATTTGACTATAAAGAAATCCTATAAATAGCAGTGAAATATAAAAGCAGTTTGAATATATGAGACCAGAGTACAAGCCTGAACACTGCCTTTACATCCACAGCTGCATTTACAGCCACATTTTATGCTCTGAAAAGGGTCAAAACCCAACCACACTTGAGAGATTGAAGTAACAGAATCATGGAATCACTGAGGTTGGAAAAGACCTCCAAGGTCACCAAGGTCACCCTGTGTCCAATCCCCTCCTTGTCCCCAGCCCAGAGCACTGAGAGCCACATCCAGGCCTTCCCTGGACACCTCCAGGGCTGGGGAATCCACCAAAACAGACCCTTAAGGAAAGATAATCACTTCCTGAGGTCAAATACTTCCCACACAAGCAGGATTCTCCTGCTGCTCCTGAGTTGTGTTTTCCCAAGCAAAGCCCAAAGCTCCAAGTGGCAGCTCCCACCAGGAAAAGGAAATAATCCCTCCTTTCCAAGGGGTCTCCTGAGGGAGCAGCTGGAAGGAAGCAAAGAGGCAACAGCACATTCTGCTTCAGGATTTCATTTTTAATCCTCATTCCAAAGAGGAATATCCAAGAAATAACACAATGGCAGGAATCTGCACTGTGTGTACCAGGGTACAGGTATTTAATGAAGCTGTTGCAAGCAAGAAGTAAAGATTTAGTAAATTGGTATAATCATCTCTGAGGGCTTCCATGTAATTAAACCCAAAGGAAGGAAACTCAATAAGCTTTTTCTTCCTGAAATCCAACACCTCAAAAGTTCAGTTTTGCTGCTAAATACATAAAAAGGGGGATAAAAGACAAAAATAAAGCTGAATAAACCACAACCACTCCCCCACACAGTTCCAGGGAATTAAACAGTGGGAGCAGCAGCTCCTGTTTGGATCTCTGACTGTGAAATATGAACCATGTTTGGTTTTGAACTACTCAAAATTTGAATATCCAGGTTAGTTCTCCTTTATTCTGCCCCCCCCCAGCCCACTAAAATATCCCAGTAAAAATATCACACAATAGAACCCAGGAGAACAAAGGAAAAAAAGAAGATTTCTAGAGACACGGAGAAGAGAACTCCCAAGATGATTAACTCCAACAATCTGATCTTCCCAAAAAGATGAGAAATACTCTATAATTTCTTCTAAACGCTTCAGCTCTTTTCTCCTTCCTAAAAAATCAGAGCTACAGGGCCGGAATAATTCAATATAAACCTGGGTTTCAGTTTCCTAATCCAATTGAAAATGCAGCTGCAGAATTAGGAGCCCTGGAAAAACAGGCAGTGGAGTTCAGGACCAATTTTTCCAACATCAGGGAGTTTTTACCCCAAATTATGGTGACCAAGTAACAGTGACCGAGGCAGATTTCGCCTTGACAATTCAGGACTTATTTTTCCTTATTTTGCCAAGAACATTCCCAGTTCTGACAGCACTTCCCAGAGCATTTATCACTTCCCCTGGCACAGCTTTATGTGTTCATTTTCTAGGTCTCATTATTCACTATTCACAGGATTCATCAGTGAAAATTCTTTATGGGAACAAGGAAAAAAACCCACTAAAAACCTGGAATGCCTTTCCCAGCTCATGCCAAGATGAAAAACCCTTCTGAGGTCACATTACAAACCAAGTCCAGCACCCCTTTAGCTCCTTACCCTCTAAAAGATGGTAATTCAATGGGTTTGAAATCAATCTTCAATATTCTCAATACTCAATATTCTCCTAACATTGTATTTCAAGTGGTTTCATGGAATCATTAAAGGTTGGAAAAGCCCAACCATTAACTGACAGATCCACCACTAAACCACGGCCCCAAGTGCCACATCCACGTGTTTTTAGAACCCTTCCAGGGATGGTGATTCCACCCCTTCCCTGGGCAGCTGTGCAGCCCTGACAAACCCTCCAGGGAATAAATTATTCCTAATGTCCAATCCAAACCTCCCCTGGCACAACTTGGGGCTGTTTCCTCTTGTCCTGTCTCCTGTTCCCTGGGAGAAGAAACTCTGGTTTTCATTTGTCCATTAGTTTATGTTCCAACTGCACGTGGTGATCATTCAGAAACTATATGTCATTTATCACAAATAATATTTAAATCCAGCTTTCCAGGCTTTCCCCCTGGCCTGGGAAGCCTCTGGAAGCAGGAGCAGGGAAGGTGTGAGCTCCTCCATGGCCTGTCCCCAGTGCAGTGTGAGCCCTGGGCCACTTGGAGTCACCAGCCCACAGCTGAGGGCAAGGAATGAAGGAACATGGAAAAACAGGAACCCATTTCCCCTCTTAAAACATGGAATTGGCCACCCTGTCCCTGAAGATTAAAGATATTATTTAGCCAGAACACAGGGAATGTAGGTCAGGCTGTCTCATCCCAAGCTGCTCATTTCATGGAGCAATCATCAGCTTGGAATGAAAAACCAAGGAAAAGCAAACCCACTGCGGTGCAAAAGCCCTTCAGAGGCCACACACAGACCCAGAACTCCCACAAAAATGCAACTGGATTTCATAATAACCCGATAATTTCATTTATTTCCAGCTTTATAGCCCATATCAACCCTGCCTGGTGTGTCAGAACAGAGAGTAAAAAAAAAAAACGAGTCTTATTCAAGTACAGAATGAGGTTTTACATCTTTTTTTTTTTTTTGGCCAGAAGCCCAGTAAAACAAATTGGATGAAAATCATCAGCATTTAAGTCCAGCTACTGAAATGAGTAACAAAATCCTCTTGTCTGCAAACAGTTCAGCACCAGAAGTTCATCAGGGGAAAATACAAGAAAAGATTTCAAAAATATCAGTCAGAGAAACGTAACAAGGATTTGGTGCAGTCAGGGCTGAGAAACACTAATTATTTTGGGATTATTTCGGGATCAGACTCAGGCAGCACAGGGTGAGGAGGGGCAGGTCCTGTCTGACCAACCTGAGCTCCTTTTATGACACAGTGACCTGCCTGGTGGAGGAGGGGAAGGCTGTGGGGGTGTCTGGAATTCAGCAAAGCCTTGGACACTGTCCCCCATGGAACATCCCTGGAAAAGGTTTGGACAGGGGCACTCCCTGCTGGGTCAGGAACTGGCTGATGGTTGGGCCTGGAGATTGGTGGGGATGGAGCTGCATCCAGGTGGGATCCATCACCAGTGGTGTCCCCAGGGATCAGTGCTGGGCCC